AGACAGGGAGGCAGAGAATGAGAAGCTGGCAGAGGATCTTGCGCAGAGGGAGGCAGAGAATGAGAAGCTGGCAGAGGACCTTGCGCAGAGGGAGGCAGAGAATGAGAAGCTGGCGGAGGACCTTGCGCAGAGGGAGGCAGAGAACGAGAAGCTGGCGGAGGACCTTGCGCAGAGGGAGGCAGAGAACGAGAAGCTGGCAGAGGACCTTGCGCAGAGGGAGGCAGAGAATGAGAAGCTGGCGGAGGGCCTTTCACAGAAGGAGTCTGAGAACGAGAAGCTTGCTGACGATCTGAATGAAATTGATTCTAAGCTGCGAGCAGCAATGGAGGCGTTGAATGCTGGTTCCAAGGATGGTGGTGACGCCGTTCACATGCTTGAGGGTTTTATGGAGAATGTGGCTGCAGCACGTGCGTCCGAGAGAGAGGCACTGGAAGCTTTGAGGGCTTCAGAAAATGAACTGGAAGAATTGAAGGTGCTTGCGGCTAACGAACAGGATAGGCTTAATGCCGAGGTGGGTTCGCACATAACGGAGAAGGAAAAACTGGCGGAGGACCTTGCGCAGAGGGAGGCAGAGAATGAGAAGCTGGCAGAGGACCTTGCGCAGAGGGAGGCAGAGAACGAGAAGCTGGCGGAGGACCTTGCGCAGAGGGAGGCAGAGAATGAGAAGCTGGCAGAGGACCTCTCAGACAAGGAGGCAGAGAATGAGAAGCTGGCGGAGGACCTTGCGCAGAGGGAGGCAGAGAACGAGAAGCTGGCGGAGGACCTTGCGCAGAGGGAGGNAGAATGTGGCTGCAGCACGTGCGTCCGAGAGAGAGGCACTGGAAGCTTTGAGGGCTTCAGAAAATGAACTCGAAGAATTGAAGGTCCTTGCGGCTAACGAACAGGATAGGCTTAATGCCGAGGTGGGGTCGCACATAACGGAGAAGGAGAAACTGGCGGCGGAAGTGGGTAATGTTAGGAAAAGGCTTGAGGAAGCCCTGGATTCTGTTGCCGGGTCACAGAAGGACGGTGAAGAGATTGCGAATTTGCGCCGTATGCTTAATGAGTCCGAGGATCTTATTGACAGCAAAAACGGGCAGCTTCACGTTCTCAATAAGCGCATTGAGGGACTCGTTGGAGAGCTCAATTCAAAGCGGGACGAACTGAGTCAGGTCATTGCGCAGTTGGACGACTTTGTGGCGAAGTTTGAGAAGGCTCGTGAGGGTGAAAAGGCGGCCGTTGAGAAGCTGGCTGCGCGAGATGAGGAATTCTGTGAATTGCAACTGGCAAGAGATGATGAGCGTGCCGAGCACGAGCGTGCTGTTTCGTTGATGCAAGAACAGTTGGAGCATCTTCGTGACCAACAATTAGAAAACGTTTCGGCGTTCGAGAAGTACCAGGGTGATTTGGCGGACCTTCGCGAGGCGCTGCAGGCTGCGGATGCTGCGTTAGCGGACAAAAACAAAGAGATTGACATCGTGCGGGAGCAGTTGATTGCGCAGCGGGAGGAGATAGTTTCGCAGCGGGAAGAAGCGCAGGCAATTGTGGATGAATTGGCCTCTGAGCGTGATAGAAAGTGCGAGGAGGTGAGCGACTCGTTGAAGAAGCTGGAAGAGTTTGTGGAAATGCTGCAGGAAGCCCGTGAATCGGAAGAAGAGGCGGTTCAACGCCGCGAAGAGGCGGAGAGGTCGCTTTACGATACCCAGAAGGAGTTGGAGAAACTCCGCTCTGTGCAGGCGCGGGAGGTCCCCCACGAGGAGTCGGAAGTGGGCGCACTGCGTGCTGCCTTGGATGAGGCGTACGACATGCACGAAGAGGCGGAGGTCGAGATAAAGAACCTGAAGGAGGCGGTGAGGCTGCTGATGGATGCGCTTTCGCATAACCAGGCGGCATTCAACTCGGCTTCGGGTGTTATAGAGGACGCCTGTGGTACACTAACGAAACTGGAGTAGATCTGCTCGTTCCCTTTTCAAATACCGCGAGACTACTGAGAATAAGGGCCTTTGTGGTCGCGATCGTAGAATTAGGAATTGGGTTTGTTCGTTTTTGTTTTTTGTTTCTCGTCTTTCCCCTTGGCGCGGAGCTTTCAACAAGGATGGCACTCGGTGTTCTCTATTCTATTCATGAATGAAGGTGAAAGGTGTTGCGTGTGTGTTTCTATTCTCCATTTCTTCCCTTTACTCTCTTTTTTTGGTGGGTCAAAATGCTAGGTTTATAGGATTCGCTATGCTTCTCTGAGCCAGGGTGGCAGGAAGGATTTCGGTGGCCTGGCGAGCGAGAACTGGTGTCACCGTGTGTGTGTGTGTGCAGGGGGAGGAGGAGGAGGCTATTCGTGCGTGGGCTTTGCGTCATTCACGAGTGAAAGAGACTGCTCCAATGCTGAAAAGCTTCTTCCTCCCCCACCAGGCATGAAGACGACAGAATGGGACGGTTGTGGACTATGTGCTATATATCCCCACTCACGTACTTCATCCTCTTGCAGTGGTGGGGGTGTATTTGGATTCATCTATTCCTAAGCAGCATTCCTGTAGTTTCATTCTCTGCGGATGGATTCAATGTGCTGCTTTATCGGAAGAAGGGAAAGATTGAGAAATATCAGTTTTTTTTGTTTGTTTGTTTGTTTGTTTGTTTTTGCTTGGCAGTTCGTAGTCATGGGTGTACTGCCACGGAATAATAGAAGCATATAGTTTACATGAACTCAGTGGGCCACTGCTGCTGCTGTGAGGCGTACCTTTCTTTCTCTCAAATTTGCCTTCTCATATCTTCTAGTTTATTTGCAATAAGAGGATTCGTCTCTGGCGCCGAATACAGAAGAAAAAGAAAACAAGACTCCTTGAACAAGATTTCCATCATCCAAGATGTCGGCACCTGGGCCGGTCACTCTTTTTCAAGGTAAGTTCAAGCTGAGCCGCCTCTTGGGCAAGGGAGGTTTCGGAGAGGTCTATGCTGGCGTGCAGGTCTCGACGGGAGAACCCGTGGCGGTAAAACTTGAACGCATCAAGGGCCGTTGCTTTCTCTTTCATGAGGCCCGCGTGATGCAGGACATTCAGAACTCCACACCCAATCGTGCCGCTCCAGGCATTCCGGAACTCAAGTATTTTGGTCAAGAAGGAGATTTTAGAATTCTCATCATGTCTATGCACGGGCCATCATTAGAGGACCTCCACGCAAACCTTGGACGATTCTCCCTAAAAACGACGGTGATGCTTTCGGATGAAATGATATCACGCCTGGAGTTTCTCCACTCCGTTGGGTATATACACCGTGACTTGAAACCAGATAATTTTCTGTTGGGTGTGGGGAAGCTTGCACGCCACATCTACTTGATTGACTTGGGCCTCAGCATTCGGCATCGCTCCTCGGATGGGGTACACCGCGAGATGGCGACTGGTAAGAGCTTCGTCGGTACCTCACGGTACGCATCCTTGCGCACACATCAAGGCTTCTCGCAGAGCCGCCGCGATGACATGGAGCAGCTGGTGTACGTTCTTATCTACCTCTACCGGGGCCACCTCCCTTGGTCAGGACTGCAAATCAAGGATCGTGAGGCGAAGGAGAAAGCCATTGGCGAAATCAAGCAAAAGTTAACAGCCGCTCAAATATGTTCCAAATGTCCCCGACAATTTGAAGATCTTTTAATTTATGCTCGCAAGATGGAATACACCGAGGGTCCGCAATATGAGATGTGTCGGATACTCATGTCGTCTGTTTTTGGCGCCATTGGACCAAATGTGAAGCACGACTACCAGTACGACTGGGTGACTGTAAGGATGAAGGAGAATGATTCCCATTACTTCATCCCCGAAACGAAGACAGGAGATAACAAGGTCAACGTAAAGAAAGAGAGTGAGCCAAATGAAAAGGATATACTGTTGAGCAGTGCAAAGGCGCAAGTCGTGTTCTCTGGTTTCGCCTCGAGAACATCTCAAAAGGCCGCTTTGGTAAACGAAAAGTGAAATCTCGTGACAGTTACGTGTGTAAGTATGTGTGTGTGTGTGTGTGTGTGTTTCTCCTTAAGTGGAATGAAAACCAGAAGTTCGCTTCTGTCGTTTTCTCTTTTTTTTTCTTGCTTTCACCAGGTGTCTTCTTTTTTTAGTGGCCTTATTCTTTTGCTATGCTGTTGGTGATTTTTGAACTTCCTCTTTGTTTGTTTTTCGCCTCCACTGCGCACTGATACGCGCAACCGTGCCGTGGCGAGCACCTATACTACCACTGAATATCTGAACGTGGATGGCGTGAAGACCGACGAAGAAAAAAAAAATGTACGCCCCTTTCCCGTATGTATTGTAAGCGGGAGTGCACACAATACGGTGTTGGCAAGCCTTTGCCGATTCATTGCTATGTGGCATGTCCTTCTGGTCCCAGTTGCCTCTTGTTGGAACACGTTTTGTTTCCTTTCATTCTCACGCTGACCCACCCCCTCTTTACGTTTCGTTTTCTTTTTTCTTTTCTTTTTTTTTTTT